AGAAATAAGCATCTCTTATCTTACAAAATTTCGTGGAGGTTCTTTTAAAGTTTAACGTTTTAGAAGTGGTGAAATAACATCAGCCTTGCAGTTATTTCCTATACTAATTACAAAGAGTCCAAGGGAATAGCGATAATAGAGATGTGGATATGTTTATTTCTTGTAAAAAAAACTACAACCGTTGTAAACAGTTAAAAGAGAATGCACAAAGAGTGCTTTTAATTCATTATCATTTCTGATTACTTAGCTTCAAGCCATATATGATCTAGGAGACAGGGTTCAGAAACATACAGCCCACAAACTGCATCCAGCCCACTGAGCCACTAGCTCCTGCCTGCAGAGCTAGAGGTTAAGCAGTGGGGAGCTAGTCCACAGAAACTTCTAGCTATACTCTTGTATCCACTGCTGCTTTGCTTGCTCCCTAGCCTCCCCCTGGCTACAGCATGGGTACAGATTTCAGCCAGTGGGGATCTGCACCAGGGGCTGGGCAACTGGAAGCTGCATCCAAACTATTGCCACTTCTCTTTCCCCCCTGCCCCTACCTCCCAGCTGTGGCACAGAAGTGGCAGCAGCTTGGACACAGCTTCCAGCTGGCTAGCCCTTGATGCAGCTGCCCACCAGAAACTGTGCCCATACCCTATCTGAGGAGCAGGGGGGCTGGGTGAGGCAGCAGTGACGTGTATGCAGCTCCCAACTGCCTGGCCTTGCAGCCCTCCACTGCTGACATGCCATGGAAGCCATCTGGCCTGCATCACACCAGAGCTGGGTTGATGGAGACCATGGCTTGAAAAGGTTGCTTCCTGCTGATATAGAAAATGGAGTTCGTGGTGGGGAGGGAAGCTTATGGAAATATATAACACATGTCTGCAGAGTTCTACAAGTTCTGCCTGACACTGGAGCAAAAAAAAAATTACAATACAGTAGGTTCTCTCTATTCTCTTTTCTGTTAAATGTGTGGTGTGGATATCCAGGTGTGTTTAAACTGGGATCCTTGATATAAATACTTGTTAGTTGTAAATGTTATGGTTTGCAAAGGAAAATAATTTGGTTGGACACAGTATACCGATTGCAAACTACTGTTTATTGCTTTCTCTAAAATTGGCATGTGGGAATAGCCACCACTTAAGATTACTGGCAACTTGCAAAAGATAGAAAGCATCTCTACTGAGGTTTATAATAGGGTAGAATGTGAAAATATATATTCAGAAAACTAACTTGTAAGTTATATTTCACCTTGCTGAAAGCACTAGACTTGAAAGGGTTATGGAGTCATTTCCAATAAGTAGACTATAATAGTACCAGAGTACTGAATGTCTATATGTAATTAAGCAATAGTTCAGTTTTACAATTTTAGTCTGAGATCCTTTACAAGACTTTTACAGCTATTCTGATTCTATTACAACAATTTTGCCTGTTACTCCCTTTTAGAGCAAGAAGTCAGTTTCCCTCCCTCTGTACAAGCATGTGTCACATCAGTATTGGTAAAGAAAAGCGGTTTTTAACAAATGCATCCCTTAACTTTTTAAGATGGTGCTCAGAGACTTAGTGATCAATTTTAGTAACGTGTTACCATCTATGGATCTCACTTAGGTCAGTCCTCAGATGAAACTTCAGAATGCTTTCTTCCTGCTTCATTGTGTTGGTAACATCAAACAATCACCCAACACCAGATTTTGGCCAAATTACTAAAATGTAGAAAGCATTCTGAATCCACATGGGAATGAAGCAAGTAATTGGCACAATTCTTTAAAAATAATTTGGGTATCATTACTTAACCAGACGATGGCAAGCTGTACTATAACTTGGGCTCGATAAATTCCATTGTCACTTTTCATATGGGAACCGCTCTTTGTTCCAGTGTGTTGCTTTTGCAATGTTTATTAGTGTGCTTCTCAGTAATATAAAATTATACCACTATAGCCCATATATTTAAAGCTTGAAAAACTTTTAAAAAATCCTCAAAAGGCATTTGACAAGTAACTTTCTTACTAAAGTAGTTCCAAAGCTAGTCACACATCAGAAATACTCTCTATTGGTGCTGACCTATCCAGGATGTGACAGCTAATTAGGAAGAGGCCTGCTTATTCCCATTCCTGATTATTAGGGGTTATACTGCATTAGTGATGAAAACACCCCAGTAACTGAGGCGTACTATTGGCCATTAGGGGCTGAGGGGTAAAGCTTCTAGATTCCAAGCTGTACAATCCGGCATCAGTTTGGAAGTTAATGTATTAATATGCTTGATTGCTGTTTGCAGTACGGTAGCATGATGAGTCCCCAGTCACAATCTAGATACTGAAGAAACATAATGTAAAATATCCTAAAAAAAAGTACATTTCATAAAATGTTGACCTAATTTGCTAGCGTACATTGTATTACACTTATTCTTGAATGTTCACTGCTGCAGTGTTCGTCCACTAGGGAGAAGGTATAAAATTCTGTATAAAATTCCACATTTCTATCATTTTTACTACATCTTAGCACTTGTATTTTACATAAGCTAATAAGCAGACTCAGGTTTGTCTCTGAGGGCTTTTTATTGTGCAACTAAAGCATCATGTTCAAGCCTCAGATTGTATTCTAAGCAAATATGAAGAGCAAATTGTTTAATCCAGTATTTCTCAACCTATAGGTCACGACCCAAAAGTGGGTCACAAAAATATATGAAAGAGTCGCAAACAGACTTTAAAAATGGATCATATTTTGCATAGATTTTTTGAAAAAACAGATGCTGCTTGTGCTTCATCATATGTTAACACTGTGCACACTAAAAAAAAGGGATCTGGATTTTCCGTTTGCCATGGAACAATGTGGAAAAAACAGATTTTCTCCTTTAAAGGAGAAAAATGTAGGAGACCATAGGTTTCCTCTTGCAGGCAGACAGAGTTCCAGTCTGCAAGAGGCTGCTTGGAGCTGGGGGGAGCAGGAGGAGGGTAATTAGGCAGCCAGGTATGGAGAGCAGCTCCCTACAAGTAAGTCTATGGGGCAGTGGGTGGGAGGGTAGAAACAATGTATTAGGGGGGCGGGGGGAGAGCACAGACGACATATCGGGAGGTCATGACCCAGATTTGTGCACCCACAGAAGGTATGGGACTCCAATCTGGCTGGAATGGCATGGGCAGAATCCACCTCCAAGGCCCAGCAGGCAGGATCCAGGAGGGTGAAATAGGGCAGTGAGACTCATTGCTACAGCTGCCATTGTCAGGACTCCCTTCAGCCACACTGCCAGTAGCGTCAGGAATAACTGACGGGGGTAGGCATGCTGCCCTTACTTCCTCCTGCTGCCAGCTGCTTGTACACTGGGCCATGATTCTTCCCTGCTGCCATGGTCCAGCCACTGCCACCACTCCCCTCAGGCCATTACCCCAGAGAGGAAGGGAGGTGGTGGGCTGTGCCATCACCTGCCTTTGCTGGTCCAGCCAAGCCAGAGCCCTGTGCCTGCTGTAGGCACACATATCTGGGGGAACACGTGCCTCCCTGTGCCCCTGCTCCATACACTCATCCCCTGGCCCCACACACTGTGGGCCTGGGGGCAGCAGCTTAGGAATGAGGGGCACCAGCAGGGCCAGGGGACTGCAGGTTAGGAGTCAGGGGTACCAGCAGATCAGTTCACGATCTTTTTTTCAAGTTGCACAATGATGAATGCCACTTGGGAGTAATGGGAGGCCACATGTTGATATTGGTCTTAATGTGTTCCTATTGATATTGATTTCTGCCTTTAAAATTAAGACTGTTGAGCTTCTTTAACTCATAGTGTGTAATAAATATTTTGGAGGCAAAATACTTATGTGTTTTCTGTCTAAACTATTTACTGGGTTGGGACTGGCCATCAGTGTTTACTAATGGGTCCTGGTACAAAAAAGTTTGAGAACCACTGGTTTAATCCATTTTATGGAAACAATTGCTTAGCACTGCATCAGTCCAACTCTTCCAGACAAGACCTTTGTAAGCACTGGGAGACAATGACAAAAAAAGTTTGTTATCACTTGTACTTCAAACTTCAGCCCTATTTTTTATGTCAGAGGAACACAACCACCGTGAGGCATGCATGTGCTGATGTATATTTGTAATAGAGTTTATGCTCATGAATTTTAATAATCTTTCTAACATGTTAGTCAGCCCAACTAATAAGCGGAGTCCTCATTACAATTCAGCATTTTGGCCACAGATAAGCCTGTATGGAATAAATAAGATGAAGTTGATGTTTATTGTGGTCTTAAATGGATTTACTTAAAAAAAAATACTTTTTCTTCATTTAAAACTTCCTTTGTCATCTTTGTTTCCATAAAAAAAATAATGTTCTCCACTATGTCAAACCATTTTTTATAAGGGTAGCTTCACCATTTCATTGTCTTTTCAGTCCAGGAATAGGGGGGGTGTCACCACAAGATTCTTCAAGCTTTCCTTGCTAGTGTAATACAACTATATTACTTATTGAACAAGTAAGAACCTAAATCTGCTTGGAGATTGCGTTTCTATTCTCCCCAAATATCCATCACATAAACGCTACATATACCTTGTATACGAATACTAGTAAATATTTTTGTTTGATAATGGAGATGCATTTTTATGTAGAACCACTAAAAGCAAGTGTTTGCACTTTATTTTGTTTACTGTGCTATAACTCTGAAATGATCACTGCCAAGAGTTTAGCTTTTCAGTGGCATGTTTAAGCCTAGCCTTTGGTTAAATGTTGAGTGCTTTTAAACTGATAGCTTTAGATCTTTAAAAACATAAGAAAATAGACCCAAGTCCAAATATTGCTTCTGGTTTAAGTGTAGTGGGACAGCTCAGCTCAGAAAACTAACTGTACTATTTTATCTTTAGAATGAAATCTGCTGTTTCACTGTAGCTTTCTACATGCTGAAAAACCAAATGATTTTTCAAGCTGTGGAAAGACCCAACAAGATCTTTTAAAATGTTCTTATTTGTAGCCTATTTTCAGTTAAAAACAAAAACCTGCTCCTCACAAAACCATTCTATTTCTATAATTGATTCAGGTTCCACCAAGGACTTAATTGAAACTTGCTGTGCAGCTGGACAACAGTGGGCTATAGACAATGAGGAATGCATGGAAATCCCCATAAGTGGAACTGATGGTGATATTTGCAGGTATGTAAGTCAAAAGGCTGCATGAATTGTCCACCTCCCAGGAAACTTGGAATTGGTCCATTCTTCAGATTTGTATTGGCTAACTATCAGTGGGTAAGGAGAGAATGGGGAGAATTTTTCTTAAAATCTGCAATGGAATCTAATATAAACAGATGATTTTTAAAGATTTTTTCTTACTATGGTACCAGAACAAAACACATTTTGCTTCCCAGATCTGTGGAGTTCAATCTGGTTGGACAGAGTAGATAAGTATTCCTCACAGCTCTGTTTGACAAATATTAAATCATTTTCCTCTTCATTAGTTGGCAAACTTGACAATTCATCCAAAAGTCGGGTTCTGGCACTCATTCACTGGGATTCACAGGGTATCCAAGGGAAGTTATAGAGTAGGTGCATGAAGCTGTTGAAGTCTAACCCCAGTATAACATAGTTACAAAGAAAAGAGTAGACTAACATGTTCTCCCTGTTACAGCAACTCCATGTAATACCACCGCAACCATTTGAGCCTGAAAAAGGGGCTTTAGACTGAACTGGAAATAAAATAATAATGAATGTCAGGTACAATAATGGAAACCAAATGACTTCCTTTAAATGCTGTTTCAGCATTTTAAGGTGCTGGTCTTGATTCTGAACTGATGCTGGAATAGATCAGAAGAAATATGTTATTGTAATCCACCGGATATACATTTAAAAACCAGTCTGCATTTTAGTGCAGTGTAATTTGCACATCTCAGATACATGAATTGGAAAACATAAGGGCAATTTTAGCCCTGGGCTTGTATACAGGTGGAAATCTAGTAATCCATTAGCTGCATACAGCAAGGCTGAATTTAGTCCTAAATGCTAAATCCCAATGTATCACACTAAACTGATCTCAAGAGACTTACATGAACAGAGACTACAATCAAAGGATTTTTATGCTTGTGTATTTACAAGCTCACTCTAATTTCACCTGCTCACAGGCTTTAATGGTTCAGAACTCTCTCCGTAAACTGGTGATACGTGCAATAGGAAAACATTAAATAGGAAATCCATTATCCCTTTTAGGAAATATTAAAACATGTTTCCACCTGCATAATGCAGGTGTATGTATTTTGATGCACGATGTGCTTTGGCAAAATACTGACAAGTAACTGCATAATTACCTACCTGCAAACATGCAAGTAACTAAGCTCTTTTAGTAATCATATAGTATAGAATGGATATAAACTGTCTTGATTAACAACTGTTTTTTGTCTAGAATAACAAGGTATTAACACCTAGACTTTTGCAAGTGACCAAAGAAACACTTGATCTCTTACATCACATCTGAAAAATAAGAGCCAGAACTAAATCAGGGTAGCTATACTGAAATCCACAGAACTTGGAAGTGTACCAGTTTGTGCCAACTGAAACCATCCAAGAATGCCCAGAAATGTGTTGTACCATCCTGAGGTATTAGAGCAGAACAGACTTAAAGGTGAGATTGCTGCTAACTAAATCACTGAAATAACTTCCTGCAGTGCCTGAGTTTTCCTTGGACATGTCCTATGAATGCACCTGCCAGGCATTACTTTGTTTGGCTTATGATGAAACAACTGCTGTTGATGGAGAATGGCAAATATGATAACAGAGATTACTTTTATAGACTAAACCTAGCCTTTATATATTCTTTAGGATTAGTATAAAGTTTGCATAACTTTCTGGATTTGTACAGTAAGTTGTGAATGATGTGTGAAGTGAAACATACTGCTCAAACATGCTGCTTAGCTGTGCCAGGGATCTGGTGAGGTTTTTTTCATTATGTCCAGAAGCCACTAATTAACCCTCTCCCTTGCAAACTACAGTGTCATTTCTTATTCCGTTTCAACTTGCATCCAACCCTTGCAATATCATCTAGCAAAATAAATCATCTAAAATATTTAGAATGTTTTAGCCAGTTTTGATTTTTCTCATTAATGTTATAGATGTACTTGTTCTGTTGAGAACAGAGATTAATTAATAAGAAATGATTACTAGAGCAGAGTTCTGATCATTCAGTGCTTGTGTCCTGGAACTAACCATATCGGTGCAGTCAAACTAATGCAAACCACTAAATGAGATGCACATTACCCAAACAGTGTAGGGATATATTTGAGCATATTACCGCATTAAGTTGCCCTGGTCTCAGTCCTGCTTTGTGCAACTGCAGTATGTCTATGTTAGTTCCAGCAGGTTAATAAATTGATGTTGTATCAGCATGAAACTTGTTTCTAGTGTAGATAGAGCCTCAGCTCCACTTGAAGCAATAGTCTGGTTACCTGACCTGCCTAGAGCATGTTTTGGACTGGAAACAAAAGTATGTAGTCTAAATGGTTTGGGCTCAGCATGGTTCAGTGGAATGGTCCCTTTGACATCTTAAAGTATAAACAAATTACACCACCTACAAAAATGTATTTCCTTTGTATGTTCTGTAGCAGAAAGGAACTTCTCACACCAAAGTGTAAGCTTCCACAATATTCTGAATCCATGGAGACCGGAGTCTTTTAATAATAGCTAATAGGTTTTGGATTGTTGGTGCTTGGCATCCAAAAAACAATATTCCATTCAGTCTTGGTTTTTCTGGCCTCTTTTGAAGAGCCTTAATAATCATCAATGACTTCAGTTTTTACATTTCAAATGCCTTGTGATGTCAATAAAAATGAAATTAGTTGCCATTAAAGACATTTGGATATGTGTGTAACAGGTGGTCCCTCCTTTAGCCCAACAGGAGCCGATTTGCTCATAAAGTCGAGTCAGTTCTCAGTTCCACTCCATTTATTTTACAGGGAGAATGCTTGATCCCAAAGCAAACAAGCCAAGCAGTAACATACAAAGCAATAATGTTAACAAAAGCAAAACCGACAGTCTTTCTCCAGACCGTGGGAGAGGGGCAAACCCCTAGCTCAGTGCTTACCAGCCTCCTCTCTACCCTTGCTATCCCCCTAGGGGGATCCCCAGGCTCCTAAGCAGACAGACTCCTCTCTCTAAACCCCTGCAGCTGGACATCAGCCCCTGAGTCATGCACCTCATTACAATGAGCCATTCGCATTTAAAATAAACAACTGTGTTTGTGTAGTTAGCAATTCTTACTGGAACTGGAAAAAAATGTCCTTGGAAAAAAAAAAGCACAAAAAGGGGGGAAAACCATTGTAAAATTAGTGACCATATTCATAGTGTTCAGTATGTAAAGTTAACTTCAGACTGACCTAGGTGTCCTTTGACATGAACTGTGTACTGCTCATGATCAAGTTATTGTCGCATTGCCACATGCTAGTTTGCACTGAACTGTACAACCTCTCCTTCCAATTTTTTTTCCAAGCACCAAGGAAAAAAAACCAATCTGGAAACTTTTTTTTTGCTTAGAAAAGAAAAGCCCTTGGCTTCCTGGGAGACCATTTTTATTGAAATAATTATACATATCTAATTGTCAACAGTTTTTTGCTTTGAAATTGATGTCTGTGAAGGACAGCCAATTGGCTTTTTGCAATTGGCTGTTAAAAAGCACCAGGCCTTAGTGCTGGTGTAACAGCATCAGTGCATATTTATGAGGCCAGGGGTTGGGGTGGATGGAGGCTACATCCCTTGGGTCTACCATTTTAAGGATGGCTACTTGAATTATAACCTGTAACTGGTACCAGAATTAACTATCACCAATGAGTGGTTCTGTATGGAAAAAGTAAGGCTTCCATGCTTTTCCCATATCACTGCAAAATGAGTATACAACAGATACATATTTGTATTCTTAATGGTTTCGCTTTTCCTAGGAAGCTACTACTTGGGTTATCTAAATACTGATAGACAGATTCATATACTGAGGTCAAAAGGCAGTATTGTAATCCTTTAAAGATATCTCTCACATTAGCCTTTAAAAAAGAAAATTCAGATTGATTTTAAAAATACCAGAATCTGTCACAGGCCTGGGTAAGGTGTAAGATTCGGTAGATAACTATCTTCATTATTAAAACATGCATCTTCTTTCAAGTCTGAATTTGAACTTCTGGTCAAAGGCTCTTGTTAGACCTCTGGTCTGCTGGACTGAAAGGTCCTTTCTTTTCAAATTTTGGTTCCTCTGGTAGACTTTTATAGACTGATACCAAATCAGACCTTCTCTCTGACAAGATAAACAGGCTGGATTTCTTGAGTCTTACCATGTTTTCCAACATAAATGAAGTAGAATATAACGGATGAAATCCTGGCTGCAGTAAGATCAATGGAAAAACTCCTTTTGTCAGTAGGGACAGGATTTCACCTAATTTACACTCCTTAATTCTTCTTTTTTCTATGTGTATATCTTCCCAATTCCAATAGCACTCATTCTCACTGCCTGTTCTTTCATATAGCCTGATGGGCACTGTCTTTTGAATGCCAGCTAATGCCTGATCTGTTCTGTCATTTTGCAGAATTGCTCAGAAGCAATGTTGTGTCTCATACTTAAAAGAAAACAGCTGTGTTACTGGCATGATTGCAGCCAAGGAAGGAGTTTTGTGTGGACCTGATGAAAGTGACACCTGTGGAGGATCTTCTTATAAGGCAAGGCCCTGTTGTACTACTCCAAAGCTTGTTTTTCAGTTTTATGCATTTATAACATGCTTTATATTTGTTCTCTGTAGCTTAGTTAATTATAAAGTTTCCTGAGTAAGGCATGGAAATAACCCTTAGCTAAGTATTACATTTAGGCTCAATTGTGCCTGATGGGCTTATTCAGTGATTTGAAACTTTCTAATAATGGTCATTTGTGTAGTCTGTGTCTGCATTTTTAAGATGAAACTTGCTGTTTTTATTGCTGCATTCCCTATTTAGAAGAATTGAGAAATCCAGGTTTGTTTTATAGTTATAGCATAGGTTTTAGAAAATTATGGGAGAAAGCCGAATCAAAGATGTAACTGCAGAAGCCCATGACTGAACAACTTGTCTGCTTAGGTACAATATTAACTTTCAGTTTAATTTAGCAGTTAAACAAGCTTTTGATTAGAGAAATAAATATTTAGATGATTAGAGAACTTTACCTCATCCATAAGAAAGGCTATTAACTGGTGGTTCATGTTAAAAATCAGTACCACAATTTTAGTTTGTTTAAATCAGACCAGCTGTATTGAAGTAATTTTACGCTTACACCAGGTTTCATCAGTTGAAGACTTGGCCTTTTACTTGTTATGCTGGTTTCCTTAGATTGTACTCATTAAAAGCTTAATATGATTTATGTAGGCACACCTAGGCTCACGTGTAACTTCAATTGTCTAAGCAGGAAACATTATTATCTCTGTCTGCTCTGATACATCAGAGATTCCTGAGGATAATTTTATTCATGAGCAAGGAAGGTGTACCTAGTTTATAGTATATGTTTTAATTACCTTAAACATTTCAATGGATAATTTAGTTTTCAAATATTACTGGGGACAAAATTCTGCCTTCAGAAACACAGAAAGGAAGCTTTTGTATCCAGGGGAATAATTTAGTTTCTGAAATAGGTCAGAAGTGCTACTTTTAGGTTTCTGCTGCCAGTCTCTCCTGTGCACTGTAAAGCACTATTATCTAGATTGTACCTGTTCACACATTATAAGCTTAGGCAGTAGAACAGCAGTTCCCAAACTCTGACAGATTGCGTATCATCAATTTAAAACGATACAGCTTTAAGTACCAACAGCAAATTTTTCATACACATGGGTAACAGACTATTTATTAAACCAACATCAAAACCTTTAGTAATCATAAAACAATGTTTTATCAGTTACAGTAGCCATATAAAATAATTATAAATTGGAAAGAAGACAGTGATTACCTGTTCAGAGATGCTTTTCGGGATGTCTGGGGATGTCTTTAGTGGGAGGGGTAAGCTTGTTTGACAGAACACAGTATTCTGATGTCTGGTGTGGGGCTGTGGCTGTGTGTGTATGGGGTTTGGAGCCCAGGGAGGAGGTGTCCCTGCACACCCTGGCAGGATGCGGGGTACTGTGGATCAGGAATGAGGGGCAGCAGCAGGGCTGAGGGTTCTGTGGCCTGGCGCACGCACGCACGCACACACACACACACACACACGGAATCAGGAGAGCGAAGGGGGGGAAGATAGAGGCCCTCATGATGAGGGAGGGAGTGGGACAGGGGCTGGGGTGAATGGGACCCTGGGGCTGGGGTGGGTCATAGGACGGAGCAATGGGAGGATCACTCAGGGGAGCAGGGGGCATGGCTCCTTGCAATTGTGCACACCCTTGGAGGAGGCATGGGGTACATGCCCCCTAGATTTGTGCATGGGGCAGAGGCAGGTTGCTGCTGTGCACCGCATGCTAAGCTCTGCACCCCACTGCATCCGGAGCTGCTCCCGATGCCATGTGCCTTCCAGGCCTTCTAAGCCTGGAAAGGCTTAGGTCGCCACAGGAGGGGCCACATCTTTTTGTGTTGGCCCTGCTGGGGGGATGGCTGGCCCCAGAGGAGAAACTCCCCCCCAGGGAGCAACGGCGTGCCCACTGGGCTCTGCACCCTGCTATCATTGCCTCAGGAGCCACACGAGATCCTATGTTGTGCCTCTGGGCCCTGGGAAGTCAGGGACTACAGAAGGTAAATGGCATTGCACATGGCTCCCAAGGCAGTGGCAGTGGGGAGCAGAGCCCAGCATGCAGTGGGCAGCTCGCCTCCATCCTGTTAATAAATCTGGGGGGCATGTGCCCCCTATTATTCCCATGGGGTGCATGCACCAGCAGGACCCCCCTGCATCCTTGGATGAGCCATCTGGTTTCTGACTATCTCACCACCCACTCTGGGGCCTCATTTGCCCCTGCCTCTGTCCCACTCCCTCCCTTACCATGGGGGCCTCAATCTGCACAACCTCCTCTCCCCCACATCCCTTCCCCCCAACATACTTACTTGTAGGGTGCTGCTCCAGACACAGCCGCCCTGCATTCCTGGCCATGTGCAGCAGGCTGTGGCTCTGTGTGTGTGTGTGTGTACGTGCGCGCGCGCGCATGCACCTCCCCCTGGCCTCCTGTGTACCACTCAGGTTATTTGTGTACCACTGGTACCACAGTTTTGGAACTGCTGCAATAGAATGAACACAGAGAAATACCTAGACTCCTTGTAACTAAAGGTTTAAATATTGAAAGAAGTGACTTCATCCTTCATCTTCCAAATAAAGGAAAAAAAGTGTTCCATACATTTCATTCTGTGGGTCATTTGGAAAGACCCAAAAACCAAGATCCTATCTGTTCTATGGAAACATTAAAGCCTTGTTCACACTAGAAGAAAGCCACTATAACTGGTTTAGAGTTGGTCAAAAGTCCTAAATTGACAGTGATAGAATGTGACTGGGCAGAGCACCACTCTGTAAGGAAATTCTTGCCATGGTTTTGACTGGCTTGGCAGAACCAGCTCTGGATGTGCAAATTTAGTTCAGTTTTTGTCCCCATTCAATTATTGGACTTTTTGCTGACAGTTGCAATTGCAGCCAGTTTAACTTAGCTTTTGCATCTGAGGCCTGACTTGTTAGTAACTAAACTAATTTTATTTTACTTAATTTAGATGGGCAGTTCCAAAGAGTTTGCAACGTAGAAATGATAACTGGGCACACTGAGTTGCACTGTTAGTGAAACTGTCAGCAGTTTATCTGCTCTTCTTTTCCTTCTGTTGAGAAGAGAAACTCTGAGCTCTGTCAGGTATTTTCTAACTATTGATTTTTGGCTGCAGTCCTCTAAATGCAATTATTAGGGTGTGAGGGCATTTATTAATATTCAAATCCATGGTGGGTATCTTCATTTACATACAGTCTCCTTGTGGGGAGCAGGGAGATGCAGCTTCTCCACAGCCTTACTTGATTAGTTACCCATTATGCATAAACTTGATTGGTGTTCAGTAAGTGCTCTTGAAACACGTTTAGGGGTTAGTATTACTTGTCTGATGCACTTTCATGGCCTGACTATGAAAATTGCACATGGCCTTGAGTAAATGGCAGTATAGTCTTCCCCCTTCTGACTTCCCCATCTCTATAGCTAATACCCTGAGGCATGTGCCCCACAAAGGCTCAATTCACTTTCTCTCTCTCTCTCTCACCAATATTCAGAGGAAGCTCACAGTCTGCAGTCTCTTTAGATACACACATGGGGGGAAAGGAAAAGCAAATTGTCCAGCAAACACACTGTTACCTGCCCCTACTTTTTGTAGTCACCAGTTCTGTTGGTGTTTAGGGAGGTTGAGGAATACAAATGGAAGGGCACTTTTGGGCAATGAATGCTTGGAGGGAACAGTATCTACTTTCTTAAGCAGAGCGCAGGAACTAATATTGTTATTGTTGCTCATACAGAGTATTAGGGATGGCCCTTTTTACCATGTCACTGACTCATGTAAGGTCCAGGTAAGTGGTTCTCAACCTTCTTAGACTCAAGACACCCTTAGAAAATGCCAGCTCTTCATCTTCACTTGTTTCTTGACTATGAACAAGTTAAGGAGCAATCCTTCTGTTGCAGAGAACTCAGAAAACCCACAACAAGATGCTTTTGATGCTATGGATTCCTATTTGAAATCTTGTTTTGAAAATGTGAATTATATGTAAGGTGTTACCAGACCTAACCATGCTAAAATTGGACCAGAAAACAGGCTTCATGTGCTCCCAGTAGCCTAGGTTGTAATGTATTGTACTAGTTAGTAGGGGTGTACGAAGCAGGCCATATTCAATTGAGATTTAGCCCGATTCAGGGGACAGTGATTCAGGTCGCTGATTCAGATCACTGTCCCGATTTTCTTTTCGGCCAAATCCAAATCTGAAGATTTGATTCTGATTTGGAGAATCAGTGATTTGGCCATAGACACAGATTTTGTTTTTTTCTACATACCTCGAGGTACCGGGCACGGCTTGTGAATGCTGAGATGGTGGGGCTGATGGAGTGTTTCACAGGAACATGGGGGGGCCCCCTGCATACTTGGCAACAGACCTGGGAGTGGACCAGAAGTAGTTCCGGTCCACTTCCAGGTCCACTACCAAGTGCATAGAGGACCCCCCTCCACCCCCAGCTCTGTGATTGGACGCAGGGGGACCCCAGGTACCCCCCCAGACCCAGGAGGCACCAGTTGCCAAGCTGGGGGGGTGGGGAGGAGCATCCCCCGTACACTCCGTAGCAGACCCGGAAATGGACCGGAAGTGGTTCTGGTCCACTTCTGGGTCTGCTGCTGAGCACGCTGGGGACCCCCCCCCCCCCCATGCTCCTGTGGAACACTATCATCCCCACCATCTCAGCATTCATGAGCTGTGCCTGGTGCCTCAAGGTATGCAGAAAAAGCATATAAAGCTGTGTCTATGGCTGAGATTAATGGGTCTCCTGATTCAATTTGGATTCAGAGATTCAGCCACCAAATTGGATCAAATGCTTTCCGAATCAAATCGGCCACTGAAGCTTTGCACAGCCCTACTTGTTAGAATATTTGAAATGCTGAAAGCTTTGTGCCTAGGTCTATCACATTGCTGTAGTCTATAGCAAAATATGAAAAAGGCAAACTGATTGCCCGTCAGGATAGGGCAGTGTGTTTGCTAGTGTGTAAGGCTTGCTGAAAAGCAGGGAAAGCATGTATTTATTATGCATAATTAATAAGCAGATGAATTGGCATCATTTGAACTTTCATGGAACAGTAATTTCCCTCAGCCATGGAAAGCGTAAGTATGTATGTGCAGTGAGCACACTGATATTTGATATCCAATTTACTGAGATGGCTCAAGATGTCAAAAAAATCACCTTTTCATTTATTTTTGCTGCTACAGTTTTCTCATAAATCAGGGATAATCGCACATCAAATGAGAAGCCAGTGAAATGGTAACCTGCTCTCCCAGCCATGGTACTGAAGACTACCTATGCAGTTTTTAAAAATTTATCTGACAGCTAGACAATTTCAAATGGAGCACAACTGCTTATGGTTAAGATTTTCTAAATTTATTGTACATTGCCTCAAAGAACCAGCAGACATTCCCAAATCTAGCCTACAGTATATCAAAATATATGCATATCACTGTGGTAGCTATATGGAATTGCTTCTACAGCATTCACCTTTTGGTTTCCACGTGCTCTGTAACTGAAGTTTATGCTACTACTAGGCTTTTAATGGCTGTCCCATCTTCAGCTGTTTTTGCTGGAGCCAGAATAAGGAGTGAAACACTTATTTTTGTAACTGACTAAATCCTAAGCATACTTTCTGATCACCTCCTTCTTAAGGATCAATCCTCATTTTCCATCTCTCTGTGATACAGCGCACAAAAAAGATAAGTGACTAATAGTCTCCTTCTCTCTCTTTCATTTTTTACAGCAATGTTGTGATTGTTGCTCTCTAGGACTGAGAGTAAAAAATGAAGGGAAAACCTGTGAGTCCAACCCAAACTTGGGCTACCCTTGCAACCATGTGATGCTTTCTTGCTGTGAAGGAGAAGATCATCTCATATCTCCAGAAATAAAAAGGCATCCTGAGCCTCTGCCAACAATGTCCCCTGAAAAAAGTAGGTAGCCTCTCTTGAATTGCAGGTGGTTGTAGATGTGAAAGGTGTGTCCACTACAGGCTATAGATAAGGTGATCCTTTAGAAGCACACTCATATGCACTTTCAGGAGATGTCCTAAGTTTTACAAACAGTGATGTTGTTGCAAAAATGATTAGATGTTCTGAACTTTAGGCACTCACCCACCTATTAGTACTTCATTATCTAGGAAGTTGGACAGTGCAGACTGCTGTGTGCCCCATAAATGACTTAAGCAGGACCATTCAGTTTTCTGTATGTAAAATACTAACGCTTAGACAAATTCTCAGTCCTCTTTCCTTATTGCTTGTCACACCACAGGAGCAAAGGGGAGTAAGCAAGTAACTTTTAAATAGTTTTTCTCAAAAAGTACTAGCTCTTCAGTAGGCACATTGTGTCGAAAGAAACACTGCGCTGAGATAGAGAGACTGGGCCAGTTGACAGTTAAAAAGTTCTCACCAGATGGTGTGCTAGTTCATGCTTCAGTGAATACAAAGTGGAACAGCTTCAACAGAGAATGAAAGGCCCTCACCTCAGAATATCCTACAGGGCCACAAGGGAATGGATTTTATTCACAAAACAGAAGAGGAGAAGGAGGTGATGGTCACATCTTTATATCCAGTGGTTGGGGCACTTTGGAGAGGTGGGAGATCAAGCTACTGTTTCAAAGCAAATACAGAAGAATTTAATCTCATATCCCAGTAAGTGTCCTAACCACTGGGCTATAGGGTACAAAACTACAACTTCCTCTTATTCCTCCTTGAGTGTATGAATGTCACCTAAGTTCCTCTGTGAATTAAGCCTGAAAAAATAAACTTGTGTTTTGAAAGTATCTTATTACCTATATTTTTTTCATATTTTCAGCCCAAACTGTTTATCAAATATAGCCTGAAACTCTGCTTGAGGCCCCTGACAGACATTAATTTAAAGGTGTAATGGGATCTGATGCATGATCCCAACAGTTGTACTTCCTGCCATGCCACGTGTATGGCAGGAGATGCAGTTGTGGGATTGACAATTAGATCCCATTGAGTCATATTTGTAGGTGCAGCAGGAGCACCTGTATTGGCAAGAAGCAAGTTTGACTCCCTGTGCTGCCCCAGTTGAAATCTGTAGTCAGCTGACTGGGACTTCTGGGTAGGAGAGTGTATGGTGGGCTCCCCTAGCTGGGGCCCCGATCAGCTGATGGGCACCCCCAGCCTCTGGAGCACATAGAAGTCTTGAAGGGTTTCAGTGCAGTTTTGGAGGCTGGGAGCACTGGCCACACATTCAGTTAAAGGCATAAAAGGAACCAGACCCAAAGTTATAATGCATATTTTGTGTAATTTCTTTTGTGCTCCAAGGATTGTGTCCTTGAGGCATGACCACTCCTTCATGTACCCCATTTGCCTTCCATCCCTGGTCCCACATCACCTCCTCTACTAATGCCAGGAGCCTGCCAAAGTCAGCATTTTTGAAGTCCAGGACTTCAATCCTGCTAGTTGATTTGTCAACTTTGTGAGGGACAATGAACCTGATGAGCTCATGGTCACTGTCACCCAGGCTACCCTCAATGTTCAAGCCACACATCAGATCATCTCCTTTGGTCAAGACCAAGTTTAGGAGAGTGGTACATCTAAACTTCCTTTTATGTTTTGCTCACTGAAGCCTGCTAAGCCAAGCTGGTCTTCTGCCATACTTGCTAGTCATCCAGTGCATTGGGATGTTTCATTCCTGCACCCTAAGTAAGGTTTTTGCACCTTTGGTAAGGTACAGCGAGCTCTCCTGGACTCCTTTCCTCCTCAAACTGGCCTCCCAGGGGATCCTAACCATCCATTCCCTCAGTGAGTCAAAGTCTGCTTTTCTCAAGTCCAGAGTCCATACTCTGCTGCTCTCTTTCCTTGGGATCATGAACTGCCCAAGTTGCCATCCACTACTACATTCCTCACCAATTCCTCCCTCTTTGTGAGCAGCAGGTCAAGAAGAGCATGACCCTTAGCTTACTTCTCTAATGCTTGCACCAGGAAGTTGTCCCCAGCACCCTCCAAAACTTCCTCAGTTACTTGTTGACTGCTATATTGCCCTCACAGCAGATGTCAGGGTGATTGAAGTCCCCCATGAGAACGAGGTTCCTGTGATTGGGAAACTTCCATTTGCTGTTTAAAGAAAGCCTCATTTACCACATCCTCTTGGTCTTGTTGTGGTGGTTGCCTGCTATAGACCACATCACCCTTGTTGCTCTCCCCTCTGACCTAACCAAGAGACTTTCAATAGGTATATCTCCAGCTTCATACTAGAGCTCTGAGCAATACAGCTCTTTACATAAAGTACAACTCCTCCTCCTCTTCTACCCTGCCTGTCCTTCCAGAACAGAACTGTTCCCATGAAGGTGAAATGTAGCAGAAGGGCTGACAAGCCCTTCTGGCTCAATAGGGACATTGCAGTCCTCCTTGAAAAAGAAAAAAGAGGCGTACACGCAGTGGAAGCTAGGGACAGTCCTCAAGGAGGACTATATGACAGTGGTCCACACTTGTAGGCAACTGAGTTTAAGTTAGTCAAGGACAATAAGAAGTCCTTCTTTAGGTATGTAGGGAGCAGAAGGAAAACAAATGGAAGTATGGGGCCCTTGCTTAACACCTTGGGACAGCTGGTAATGGACACTCAGGGAAAAAACTGAACTCCTGAATGCCCATTTTGCTTCGGTATTTCACCAGACCAAGGGGAAAGACAAGCAAGATAAGGATCACAGAGGGCATGGTGGGAATGATAGCCTTCCCATTGTGGATGCTGAGCTGGTACAAAACCAGCTAGAAAAGCTAGACATTTATAAGTCAGCAGGACCAAATAGACTTCACCCAAGAGTGCTGATGGAGCTGGCTGAGGTCATTGTGGAACCCCTGGCAAAACTCTTTCAGAAATCGTGAGACACAGGGGAGAGTCCTGAGGATTGGAAGAAGGCCAAGATTGTGCCCATCTTCAAGAAGGGGAAGGAGGACCTGGGCAACTATAGGCCAATCGGCCTAACCTCCATCCCATGGAAAATCCTGCAAAAACTCATTAAAGAATCTATGTGTGATACCCTCATTGAGCATAAGATTCTGAATGACAGCAAGCATGGCTTTGTTGCCGGTATGTCTTGTCTTGCCTATCTCATCTCTTCCTATGAACAGGTCTCTCACCACCTGAACATGGGAGAGAAGGGTGGTGTTATATACCTAGACTTTCAAAAGGATTTTGATCTAGTATCCCATGATATCCTTGTGGAAAAATTGGAAGATTGTGGGCTTAACTGCTCAACAGTTCAGTGGGTGGAAAACTGGCTGCATGGTAGGACCCAGGGAGTTCTCATGAACAGATCTGTGTCATCCTGGCAAGAAGTAGCCAGTAGTGCCCCTTGGGTCCATGGTTGGACTGATAAAGATGTTGGAAAAACACCCATGATTTGGATGTGGGGGTGAAAAGCTCGCTGGCCAAGTTTGTGGATTACCGCAAGTTATGGGGGAGCGTGGTCATGCCAGAAGATGGGTTGTAGGTACAGGCAGACCTGGAGAGGCTGGAGAGTTGGGCGGACCAGAACCAGATGAAGTTCAACACTGAGAAGTGTAAGGTGCTCCATCTAGAGGCAAACAATTCCCAACTTACCTACGGGCTCGTTGGCGACAGTTTGACTTGCGCCACGGCCAAAAGGGACCTAGGGATAGTGATTGAGCATCGCATGAGCTGACAATGCAGTGCTGTGGCCAGCAGGACAGACAACACACTGGCATGCATTAACTGTTGCATCTCATTCAAAACTAAGGAAGTGATACTCCCACTGTACTCCACTGATGTACTCCCACTGTTGAGATGGCAGCTTGAGTACTGCATCCAGTTCTGGGCGCCACACTTCAACAAGGACATAGAAAAACTTGAGAGGGTCCAGAAAAGAGCCACCTGTATGATCAGGGACTTGCAAGATAAGCCATATGAGGAGAGGCTCAGTGGCTTGGGCCTCTTCAGTCTACAGAAGAGAGGTCTGAGGAGGGGACTTAGTAGCACCTTACTGCTACATCAGGGGAGTATATCAAGAACTCGGTGAACAGCTGTTCACCAGGGCACCCCTGGAAAAGACAAGGAGCAATGGATACAAACTCCTAGATGGCTGCTTTATGCTCAATTCCAGGAAAAACTCCTTCAAGGTCAGGGTGTCCAGACTGAAATAAACTCCTTCCAGTGGTGGTGCAGTCACCTGCCCTGGAAATCTTCAAAAGGAGACTGGACAGTAAGGCTGTGCAAAGCTTCAGGTGCTGATTCGATTTGGCCTGATTCAGTGGCCGAATCTCCAAATCAGAATCGAATCGGGACCAATGAAAAGGTCCGAATTGATTCAAAGCTCTCCAAATTATCAGAAAAGATTTGGAGAGCTTCAATGATTTGGACAGTCTCCATCAGCTGCAGCAGGGTGCTGGTGGCAGTCTCGGAGCCGGTAAGTAAGGGGTGAGACAGGAGGGGCTGGGGGAGGGGACCACAGGGGGACTGCCCCATGCTGCATGGGGGGCTCTGCCATGAGCCCCACTCATGGCTGCCCCACCCACCCCAGCTCCAGCCTTTTAAGGAAAAAGTCACAAGAAGAACCCTGGGACTTGCTGGTTCCTGCAGTAGCCTCGGGGCTTCAGGGGGCTTGTGCAGAACCCCACATGTAGCAGGGGGCAGCAGGGATTGCCCCAGCTGGCAGAAACTAGTGAGCCCGGGAGGTTTTCTTGTTTGTTTGTTTGTTTTTAAAGGGCCAGAGCTGGGGCAGGCAGGGTAGCCATGGTGGAGGGGAGGGTTGGGATAGTGGGGGGCATCAGGGAGCCCCCCCACAGTGTGGGGCACTGGGGAGTCCGTGAGGATCGCCCCCCCCCCCACCTGGCAACACCTGGTGAGGTGGTGCTTTTTTTTTTTTTTTTTAATGCCGGGGGGTGGG